CCACCTTAGGTGTATGTGGCTGGCGCCTTAGCCGCTTGAGCCACAGGCGCCGAGCCAACTTGTTAATTTTCAAAAAATGAAAAAGAAGTAAGGGGGTTACTAGGAAAAGATAGATTAAGGAGGTTTGGTTTTTCCAACATAAGAAAAGCAATACAGCCATCTGTTTTCCTGGCTGCTTATTACTCCTACTGTCAGTATAGAAGAGCAGATATGTATTAAATACAAATAATAGCTTTATTGTTTTATTTTGATTCAATACAGTTATATAAAACTTGAATGCAAAAATTTACATTAAGGATTTTGATTTATCATCATGGAATTTGTATCTGGTCTCTGATACTAAAGGTATCATTGAAGTATATATAGTCTTAGCAGAGATGATCACTAAAGATTGTTGTAGTGTTTATACTAATTACATATTATTGTAAAAATTATCACCCCTCTCGCCCCCCCCAAAACCCTGCAGCTATTCATTTGGTCTTTAGTCATAACTTTTTCTTGCCTTGACTCCTAGGCTTTTGACCTTTATGAACAAAGATATGCTGCTGTGAAGATACATCAGCTTAATAAAAGTTGGAGAGATGAGAAAAAAGAAAACTACCACAAGTAAATATTAATGCTTTAGGGTTTTTATAAATTAAAAAATTCTTAAATGATCTTGAAGAATTAATATACTCTTTCCCCATAGACATGCCTGCAGAGAGTATAGAATACACAAAGAACTGGATCACCCCAGAATAGTTAAACTCTATGATTACTTCTCCTTGGATACAGATACGTAAGTGAATAGAAGGATTTAATTTTTTTAAAAAATAGGATTTTGCTTTCCCTATTTTGTGATGATGATATGAAACTCTTCACTTCCTCTTTGTAATTCTGAATTACTGGATAATATTTGTGTCTCATTTTTCCCCCATTGCAGGTTTTGCACAGTGTTGGAATACTGTGAAGGCAATGACTTGGATTTCTATCTCAAGCAACACAAATTAATGTCAGAGAAAGAAGCTAGGTCTATTGTAATGCAGATTGTAAATGCACTAAGATATCTCAATGAGATCAAACCCCCTATTATACATTATGATCTTAAACCAGGTAATTCAATGTATCTAATAAGTTTTTTAAGCTCAGAAGAATATAGTTTGTGAAAGTCTATTCATTAAGTTGTCTGAAAATACCCTTATTGCTTTAGTTTTTAAAACTTCTATAATGCTAATAAAATTAAAGACCGTTTTATTATATTACTACATTTTAAATATGTTTACTTCCCAAATGTTAAAGTAGTGATGTTTTCACATATATACATTTAAAAGAATCTTATATCTTTTTCTTAGGAAACATCCTTCTGGTAGATGGAACAGCATGTGGAGAAATCAAAATCACTGATTTTGGTCTGTCCAAGATTATGGACGATGATAGCTATGGTGTAGATGGAATGGATCTTACTTCCCAAGGGGCAGGCACTTACTGGTAAATGTATTATTTATTATTTCAAATTTATAGCAAAATTGACTAGATTAGTACCTAGTGTTTTTATGAGAATTTAGTTTTTATTTTCATGTATGTTTTGAGATGATTATGGTGAAGGCACTGATTATTAAGCCTCTGAGTTGAGAAGGGGATTGCTGTGGTCACTTTTCTCATCTATTCTTTATGGCAAATGTCAGCATACTGGAGAGAGAATGACTTGGTACTAGCAAATAACTTCAGTATGTACCAGCCACAGACTCCTAATATGGAGAATTTATAAATTTGGGGGTAATGTTTATTTTGAATATAGTGAACATAATTTATGTAAATACAATTTAATTATCAGAATCAAAAGCTATAAGCATTGGCCCAGTGCAGTAGCTCTCATACCTATAATCCTTAGCACTCTGGAAGGCTAAGGTGGGCAGATCACTTGAGCTCAGGAGTTCAAGACCAGCCTGAGTAAGAGTGAGACCCTATCTCTACTAAAATTAAAAAAATTAGCCAGACATTGTGGCAGGTCTCTGTACTCTCAGCTACCCCGGAAACTGAGGCATGAGGATCACCTGATCCCCATAGTATGAGGTTGCTGTGAACTTTGACGATGCCATGGCACTCAAGCTCAGGGTGACAGAGCGTGATTCTATTTCACAAAAAAACAACCAAACAAAAACTGTAAACATCAAGCCCCTTCTGGACCCAGACATAGTGGCTAACACCTATAATCCCAAAACTTTGGGAGACCAAGGCAGGAGGGTAGCTTGAGGCCAGGAGTTTTGAGTCCAGGCTAAGCAACATAGTAAGAGCCTGTTTCTACAAAAAAGGAAAAGAGGCTCTGTGCCTGTGGCTCAAGTGGCTAAGGC